ATCCTGGGTGGTTAACACTTCCTACCCTGGGTTATCATGGGTGGCTAACACTTCCTACCCTGGGTTATCCTGGGTGGCTAACACTTCCTACCCTGGGTTATCATGGGTGGCTAACACTCCCTACCCTGGGTTATCCTGGGTGGCTAAGACTTCTTACCCTGGGTTATCCTGGGTGGCTAACACTTCCTACTCTGGGTTATCCTGGGTGGCTAACACTCCCTACCCTGGGTTATCCTGGGTGGCTAACACTCCCTACCCTGGGTTATCCTGGGTGGCTAACACTCCCTACCCTGTGTTATCCTGGGTGGCTAACACTTCCTACCCTGGGTTATCCTGGGTGGCTAACACTTCCTACCCTGGGTTATCCTGGGTGGCTAACACTTCCTACCCTGGGTTATCCTGGGTGGCTAACACTCCCTACCCTGGGTTATCCTGGGTGGCTAACACTTCCTACCCTGGGTTATCCTGGGTGACTAACACTCCCTACCCTGGGTTATCCTGGATGGCTAACTCTCCCTACCCTGGGTTATCCTGGGTGGCTAACACTCCCTACCCTGGGTTATCCTGGGTGGCTAACCCTCCCTACCCTGGGTGGCTAACCCTCCGGGGTTAAAAATCCTAGCAAGATCTCATCTGTCCATACTAGAGGATGGTGTGCCGGTGATGACTGGCAGCCAAGTGAGGTAATTTTCCATATCCTTTAGCCAATAGAGAATAACCATCAGAAAGTCAGAAATAAGCCACCAGGCCACAGATAATCTCTCCTGTGGACATAAAATGAGGCAAACCAGTCACCACCAGGTCAGAGGAAGAATAATAATAATAAATCTTTATTTCTACCAGTACACGATAAAACTTATACAGACCATAGCTCACACCTATGACATACTATATAGAAAACCCTTGGTTATACAGAGCAGTTCAAATTAAGTCAATTTTGTCCCAGGATGCGACCCACACCAGCTGACTAACATCCAGGTACATATTTTACTGTTAGTGGTGAATAGGGATAACAGGTGTCTTAAAGAAACGTGTCCTAATATGTCCAGCCGTGCCGGGGATCGAACCCCTGACCTCAGTGTGTGAACTGAATACGGGACACCTGCAGACTTGTTCAATAGTCTGTTACTTATACTTCTTGATATAAATCTAAGTAATCTGTTAATATCACTGTTCGCACTTTAATGTCTCAAACTGTTCAGAAAATTTAATCGTAAACAAAATATCCAAAATATCCAAATTTGTGCTGAACTTAAGGAATCCGGATTCATTAAGATGTGAGTTTTGGTGGCCCTTAAAAACTGCTGCTGCTTAGTGCTAACTGGACAAATTACTTTATTTTCACTAAAAACATTGAATAATTATACAAAAGTGTTATGAACTTGTAAAATGGTTGTCAAGGCATATATGTAGGTATATATTAGAAATGTAATGCTAAGATATAACTTGAAATAACAGAACCCACTCCAGACACCACTGAACATTGTTCCATTACTGGGAAGAAATATTAGTCATTTCATTTTTTTATGATTGCTTTTATAGTTAAATATACACAATACAGTATGGAATACAATCTTAAACAAAGCAAAAAAATCCATATTTTTCCCTTTAGTTTGGTGTCCCGGGGTTTATTAAGGGTTTTGTTAACCCTTAACAGCAACCTTTGGGACTTAGTGCTCAATATGTATTTCTTTTCACTAATGAAATTAATAATTATACAAAAGTGTTATAAAACTTGTTAAAACAGTTTTAAAGACATATATGTAGGTATATATAGTGATGGAATGTGTAGATATAAACTGAAATACCTGAAAAAATCAGAACCCAGACCCCCATTGGGCAATTATTACATCACTTGAAGAAAATAATTGTCATTCTTATTCTACAATTATTTTATATAGCCAACATATACAATAAATATGTCATACAATTTTTAAAAATAGAGAAAATCCATATTTTTTCCTGGACTCCTAAAAACCCGGGTTCATTAAGAGAATTTTATTGACCCTTAACAACTACACTTGCTGCGTGTGTTCACTTAAAAAGGTCAGTTTTTTCCACTATACTAATGAATAATATAAAAAAAACTGGTTATAAACTTAATATAATAGTTCTTTAAGTCACATTATCTAGGTAAGTATTATGATGTAATGTGTAGATATAACTTGAAATAGAATAAATAGTGAATATTGTTTCCCTGACTTGCAGGTATTGTTCCCGTACATCATCACGATTTTAATTAATATTTAATCTCTGGTAATATGTATTTAATATGTCTTTTATATCTATTTTTTGTCTTGTGAGAACTCAAAAAAAACGTAGAAAAACCCTTCTAGATTATATCCGAGATGTTTTAAATGAAATTGAAGTGCTGAGATTTTAACAAATATTGACTTGAGTTATATTTATTTTTTATATAATTTTTGTGGGTTATATTAACACCAGAAACTTTTATAAAATAACTTATTAACCCAAATTTATATGGTCTGGTGTATATATTTTTTCAATGTATTTTAGACCCCAAGACATTACAAGTTAACATTTATATTATTGATTTTTGTAAATATTACAGGTTAATATTTACATTATTGATTTATTTTAACTTATTATAGGTTTTAAAATTTATATTATTAACATATGTTTCAAAGTTAAGGTCATGGGGAAAAATTGGCTTTATATTAATAAAAAATAACATTACTTAACCTAGCCTTTAAAAAAGAGGTTTATATTTAAAAAATAAACATTACTTAACCCAGCCTTTAATAAGAGGTTTTATATTAATAATAGCATTACTTAACCCAGCCTTTAAAAAGGGTTTATATTAATAAATAACTTACTTAAACCTAGCCTTTAATAAGGGTTTATATTAATAAATAGCATTACTTAACTAGCCTTTAATAAGGTGTTTTATTAATAAATAACATTACTTAACCTAGCCTTTAATAAGAGGTTTTATATTAATAAATAGCATTACTTAACCTAGCCTTTAATAAGAGGTTTATATTAATAAATAACATTACTTAACCTAGCCTTTAATAAGAGGTTTTATTAATAAATAACATTACTTAACCTAGCCTTTAAAAAAGAGGTTTTATATTAATAAATAGCATTTCTTAACCTAGCCCTTTAATAGAGGTTTTATATTAATAAATAACATTACGTAACCTAGCCTTTAATAAGAGGGTTTTTATTAATAAATAAAAATTACTTAACCCAGCCTTTAATAAGGGTTTATATTAATAAATAACATTACTTAACCTAGCCCTTTTAAAAAGAGGTTTATATTAATAAATAACATTACTTAACCTAGCCTTTAATAAGGTTTTATATTAAAAAATAACATTTTCTTAATCTTAGCCTTTAATAAGAGGTTTTATATTAATAAAATAACATTACTTAATCTAGCCCTTTAATAAGGGGTAGTAACAACAGTAATAGTCACTGTTCACCTAGCATTAAGTAGGTACCCGGGTGTTAGTCACCTCACACCTGCTGTCACTGGCTTATTCCTGGGTGGCTAGACAAAAAATTGAACAAAATTTTTACTATCATCTCATTTATAATAGCAAGTTTTAGAAGCATTTACCCTAAAGTAACTGTTCTAGTTTGTATTTTATTGTTCAGTGCTGGAAACCACAAATAGTGAACAAGGACATTTTCAGTTTAAATTTCATCATAAAATGATTATGATAAAATACCTATAGAGTGGAACCTCGGTATACGACCACCTTCCTACCCAAACAAAGCTCGGCACTCGACCAAACAAATATGACCTGCCAGAACTTCGCTGTAAACTATTCCATGTTTCTTCACATTTTTGGTGTTTTTTTGTATTTTTATAAATAAGTCACTGTGGGGCCTACAAGTTAGTGATAACAGCCAACCAAAAAAAATTGGTTGTGAAGAACTTGTTCGATACTCAAGAGAGCAGCACTCGAACAGCCTTCTGGAATGAATTAAGGTCGTATACCAAGGTTTCACTGTATATTCATAATTAAGGTTCATTTATATTTGAAGGCTTGTACATATTAGGCCTGTACTTGAAGCTTCGTGTTTTGTATTTTGTGTGTATTTTGTAGTCTATTGTATTTCATTTGTAATTAATAAGTGTCCAAAAATAATATTTGTACGTATTGAATTCTGTGGTCAATAATAACCTTCATGGAGATGACCCCAGATGGGTATCGAAATATACACATCAATTAATCATTTGTGTTTCTGCCTCCGCTTCAGTTATTCCCTGAATTTTATTTTCTCTGCATTAGTGTACTTATGTTTGTACAATGTATTTGGATATACATGGTTGACCTCATTTGTTACTCCAACAGCTGTAATAAGATCGTCTCGGACAAATTGGAAAATGTCGGCACAGGTGAGCGTGCAAGTCGACCCTCCAGGTGCCAGATATGTCATGGACGTTGTGCTCCAACGTCAGAGGGAAATTATGGCCAAAAATTATGTGAGTATACTATATGGCCAGCATATAGTGCCTAACATTGAAGGAGGATTGAGGATTCTGCTGTTAGGTGGGCTGCCCAAATTGCGATTTAGTAAGTTTATTTAGGCACAGGAACACATAAGTACAGTTATCATGCATAGTGTAAATTACCTAGCATAACTCAAAAAAAAAATCAGACAAGGTGACTTATTTCCATTGGGGGTCAGTACACTTCTGGCAAGACAGCAGTTGAATGAATGATGGCAGAGGTGTTTTCTTCTTTGCATTACCCTGCCATGATGGGCGATAGTCATTGAAGTAAAAAGGTATATACAGCCTCTTCTCACTTAACAAAGGAGTTCCGTTCCTAAGGCCATGTCGGTAAACGAATTTGTCGCCGAGTGAGGAGCACACTATAATGGTTACCTGGAGAGGGTTTCTGAGGTCAACACCCCGTGGCCCTGGTCTGAGACCAGGCCTCATGGTGATCAGGTCTGATCAACCAGGCTGTTACTCTGCACACACGCAAGCTGACCTACGAACCACAACCCAGTTGGTCAGGTACTGATTTTAGGTGCCTGTCCAGTGCCTTCTTGAAGACAGCCAGGGGTCTGTTGGTAATCCCCCTTATGTATGCTGGGAGGCAATTGAACAGTCTTGGGCCCCAGACACTGATTGTGTTGTCTCTCAGTGTACTTGTGGCACCCCAGCTTTTAATCGGGGGAATGTTGCATCTCCTGCCGAGTCTTTTGCTTTCATAGGAAGTGATTTTCGTGTGCAGGTTTGGTGCCAGTCCCTCCAGGACCTTCCAAGTGTATATGTATTATCATGTGTATCATGGTAGTGAGTTTGTGTCAACCATCTTTGATATTGTTTTTATTGTCACCTTCGCTCCATTTATAACATTTTTAGTATACTGTATTTTTAAATGTTTATACAGTAGTGATGGAGTGAATGATGGTGAAAGTTTTTCTTTTTCGGCCACCCTGGCCTTGGTGGGAATCAGCCAGTGTGATAATAATAATAAATATACAGTAGTGTACTGTACGTATATTGTAATAAACAGAATAGAGGAAATCAGCTTAATATGCATTATTTATGTATGCATACTGGTCAGAGAGCCTGTTGTAAGTCCAAGTCGTCAGGTAAACGAGTACGTCGCTAAGTGAGGAGAGGCTGTATAGATAAATATAACACTAGCATGTATATGTCAGTAGGACCTTTCCTAGCCCGTTAGACCTAATTCATGGCTCCTCTATTTTTAAGGTCTTGTATCTGGATATCTTAATTTATAAACATTCTGGGTATCTTTAATTTATAAATGTTCTGGGTATCTTTAATTTATAAACGTTCTGGGTACAGTGGACCCCCAGTTTGCGATATTAATCCGTTGCTGAGAGCTCATCGTAAACCAAAATTATCGAAAAGCGAATCAATTTTCCCCATAAGAAATAATGGAAATCAAATTAATCCATGCAAGACACCCAAAAGTATGAAAAAAAAAATTTACCACAAGAAATATTAAGTTTAATGCCACACAAACTGAAGAAGACATACACAGTTTGTAGTATATACTCTACTAACAATAGAATACATGACACTTACCTTTAATGAAGATCTGGTGATGATTGATGGGATGGGAGGAGGGGAGAGTGTCAAACTTATTGTTTAGAAGGGGAATCCCCTTCCATTAGGACTTGAGGTAGCAGGTCCTTTTCCAGGGTTACTTTCCTTCTTCTTTTAATGCCACTAGGACCAGCTTGAGAGTCACTGGCAGCCTCACCATGCCTAATCACACTATGTATGCCACAGTGATTCTTAAATCTTTCAAAACAACCTTTGCTGGCCTTAAATTCACTCACATCAGCACTAGTTGCAGGCAATTTCTTTACCAAATCGTCATGCAACTGCCTAGCCTTTTCACAAATGAAAGCTGAGAGAGGCTATCTCCTGCTATCAGTTTTCATTTATCCACACCAATAACAGTCTCTCAACATCTTCTAACACTTGCAGTCGCTGTTTTGTAATCACAGTTGCACCTTTTGCAACAGCTTCCTCGATTGCAGTTTTCCTGGTCACTCTAGTAGAGATGGTTGATTGGGGTTTTGTATACAACCTGGCCAGCTCCGACACACGCACTCCACTTTTGTACTTGCAATTATTCTTTCTTCATTTCAATAGTCATTAGCACCCTTTTTCTCGAAGGGTTGGCACTAGAGGCTTTCTTGGGGCCCACGGTGACTTATTTTGCAGAAACAAGCACCAAAAACACTGATAATATGGAATGTACCGAATGTATCCTTAGATGCGAGCACACTGGCTGGCTTGTAAACACTGGCACACATGTGGAAACGTCTCAGATGAATCGTATACCGGGTTTTTTAACGGGAACCGAGGCAAAAATTTTACGTTAAAATGTATCGAATACCGGATTTATCGGATACTGATGGCATCGCAAACTGGGGGTCCACTGTATCTTTAATTTATAAACGTTTTGGGTATCTTTAATTTATAAACGTTCTGGGTATCTTTAATTTATAAACGTTTTGCATGTTCATTCTAAGTTTCTGCTGTTAACTGTAACTTCTGAACGTTTATGACCCACAGGTTGCCACACAAGTTAGTGAACATCTACAGCGTAAACTTGACCTGAATTCTTCATCGTTCCTCAGTGAAGCGCAGTTTCACTTGGTTGGCAGTGCAGCAGAGAGTCTTGTAACTTCCTTCAAGGATGACCAGGATCTTCTCCTGATACTTGGCCCTCCTTATACTCCAGAGTACTTTAAAGTTAGTAAAGTGTTACTCCTCTTTATTCTATAGTTAGTATTTTACTTGTAGGGGTAAATTAGTGCCTTGGGAAGTAGTAGTAATTCAAATTAAAAATTTGATTTCTTTTTACATTAGGAAAAAAGGACGTGTGCAACTACTGTGGACCTCGGTTAACGATATTTCTCATTCCAGAAGTTGTTGGGTGCCAGTATGACAGAATTATTCACATACAGGAATATTGGAAGTAGATAGTCCATTTCAGACCCCCAAACATACACAGCAAACGCACTTACATAAAACACTTACATAATGGTGCATTGGGGGTGTCGTTAAAGCGGGGGTCACTGAATGTTTCCATAAGCTCTCCATTAACTTCTGTCAGCTGTTACAAATACATGGTCAAACAGGGTAATATAGGGACACAAAAACCCAGTCATAAAGACATTAACTAGTACTTAACACAATAGATATGGCACCCTTACCTTCATGTGTGTGATTGTTATGGTCCAATGGACTGAATATCGTCATAAATTTCTGCTACATGGGTATTTGTGTATTGTGCAGTCACGGTATTGTGAATTTTTGTTTTGTGTATGGTACTGTGTGAGGTGAAAGTAGGTCTCACATGGTACCTATATATACCCTCTGTTATTTGTATATTGATCTAATCGAAATATTGTGCCTTTTTTATTATTTATTATTATAATCAGTAATGCTTTGTTTTCCCTACAGTCTGTGCATGAAGCCCACGGAAGTATTTTTTATGTGGAATAAGAAGACATGGAACGGAGCCAAGCCACGTTATGTTAATGAGAAGGGATATCTTTCAACATACTCTCTTCGAAGTCAGTTAATTCCTGGTATGTACCAAAGAGGATATCAAATTCTCAAAATATTCTTAGTAATAATTTGACCTTTTGACCCCAAAAATGTGAGTGAAACATCGTACTCCTAAATGCCTTTGCTATGTGCGTTTTTTGACACTTGTCAAGTATGTTGTACAGTTGAGAATCCTTTATCCAGAAAGCTTGGAAATGGAATTGTTTTGAGTTTCGGATTTTGGAAATATGTTTATTTGCATATCAAATAAATCAAAACAAATCAAATCTAAGTTTATTCTCTATAAGGATTACAATTCGGGGTTTACAGATTTTGGTTATTGTGTGGTTTACATGTAATAAAATACTAATTACAGAGGGGGCCACTAGAACACCTAGCATGGCTAGCTTTTTGGGGGCAAACTTAGATTAATTCTTAACCCTAAATTATTACAAATTGTGGAGCAAGATGACTAAATACTAAGTGACTAAATACTAGTTTGTGAGTTTAGCAATGTGAATGCTTTTGTTATGGCACAATACATAGTTTCTATATTGGAATATCACAGGCAAACTTGTGACTAGTTAGGAATCATTATTTTAAGATTAAGATACGTATTTCTGTGCTTATAGCCAAATGGGTGAGTGAAAGCGTGAACCACCAGGTGGTTTACATGTAGTTAGTTGACGGGGTGTGTCAGGGAGATAAGATGTTTTCTAATGGTAGTTTTGAAGGTGATGAATGTGTCTGCAGTTCTAGAGTTCTCAGGTAGGGTGTTCCAGATTTTAGGGCCTTTGACATACATTGAATTTTTGTGAAGGTTTAGTCGGACATGGGGAATGTCATAGAGATGTTTGTGTCTGGTGTTATGCCTGTGGGTCCTGTCACAACTATCAAGAAAGCATTTTAGGTCAAGGTTAATATTGGAATTTAAGGTCCTGTAGATATAGATTGCACAGTAGTAAGTGTGGATGTTCTGAACAGGAAGTAAGTTTAGATCTATGAAGAGTGGGGGGGGGGGTTGCCAGGGATGGGATTTAGTGATTATTCTTACTGCGGCTTTTTGTTGAGTTATTATTGGCTTTAGGTGTATTGCTGCAGTTGATCCCCAAGCACAGATAGCATAGGCGAGTATGGATAAATGAGTGAATGGTATAGTGTGAGAAGGGCATTTTGCGCACGTAGTATCGTATCTTGGAGAGGATCCCAACTGTTTTGGATACTTTTTTTTGATATGTGTTGGATGTGGGTGCTGAAATTCAGGTTGTTGTCGAGATATAGGCCTAGGAATTTGCTCTCATTATGTCTGGCAATTAGAGCGTTGTCGATCTTAACGTTTAGTTGAGCAGCACCTGCTATGCTACTAAACATAACATAGTAGGTTTTGTCAGTGTTAAGTGTAAGTTTATTGGCTGTCATCCAAGTTGATATTTTGAGCAGCTCCTCATTAACAGTGGTGTTGAGGATGGCAAGAATAGGGTGAGAGATGACATAAGTCGTGTCATCAGCAAAGAGAATGGGTTTCAGGTGTTGGGATACGTTTGGAAGGTCATTGATGTAAATGAGGAAGAGCAGGGGTCCAAGGACACTTCCCTGCGGAACTCCAGTATCAAGTGGCCGTGTTGATAAGGTTGTGTCTATTAGTAAGGTAGAATTTGAAATATGCAAGCGCATGGCCTCTTATACATACCATAATGGTCAAGTTTGTGGAGTAGGATGCTGTGGTCTACTGTGTCAAAAGCTTTTCTTAGGTCAATAAAAATTCCTAGCGGATATTCCTTATTTTCCAATGCTGTGTAAAGCAGATCTAGCATTTTTACAATTGCATCATTAGTGCTTTTATTTTTCCTGAATCCAAATTGGCAGGGGTTGAGTATGTTTTGTTCCGTTTAAAATGAATACAGTCTCATGTGCACGAGTTTCTCGAAGATTTTGGATAGCAATGGTAAGTTTGATATTGGCCTGTAGTTGTTTACATCTGTAGGGTCACCACCTTTATGTATTGGTGTAACCCTTGCTGTCTTGAGTAGTTTCGGGAAGGTGCTAGTTTCTAGTGACTAGTTAAAAAGTAATGAAATAGCATGCGAAAGGACATGGGCTGCCCGGCTGTACAATAATGGTGGGACATGAGACAGGTTCCCTGAGTTATTTTTAAGTGACTTTATAATCTCGGTGACTTCGGAGGGCTCAGTTGGTACAAAATAGAAGGAATTTGGGAAATTCCCATCTAGGTAGTCCCTGGCATGGGCATTGGTAAAGTGTGATTTTACTGGCAAGATAGATCCTATTGTTGAGAAGAAGTCGTTTATCTTGTTAGCTGTTTCAGTGGGTTGCAGTGGTGTTTCATTAGGTTTAGTTAGGACAATATTCTTGTTTTTTTTTTCAGTTTGTGGGTCCCCCAGAATTTGAGTGTTTTCCAGGTCTTTTTTATATCTCCTCTTGTGTCAGTGAATCTGCTGGAGTAGTATAGCTGTTTGGCTTTCATTATTACTTTGGTGAAACTGATGAATTAGTGTTTAAGAATATCTTTGTGTATTAAGCCCTGTCTATATTGCTTTTCATATTGGTGTTTCTTATCAATGGATTTCAGTATGCTGTTGGTTAGCCATGGGCAACCAAGCCATTTATTCGTGATCTGTTTCGTTTTTATAGGACAATGTTTGTTGTATAGTCTAAGTAATTTGTTAAGAAAAATGTCTGTCCAATCGTCAATACCATTTGCCTTGGAGAATTCTGTAGGCCAGTCAACAGTCTCTAGGTCTGCTGTGAACTTCCTTATTGAGGCCTCATCATGGAGTCTAAATGAGACTTTGTTGTATTCAAGTGGTGGTTTACTAATGTTTGTTAAGAGGAAGGTAGGGTAGTGGTCTGTAGTGCTGTCTGTGATTATCCCTGATTTAAGGGGGGCTAGTATATTGGTCCACATGTGGTCTATTATGGTTGCACTTGTCTCAGTGAGCCTGGTTGGTTTAGTTATTGTTGGTATGAAAAGTGTGTTGTTCATATTGATGAAATCAGTTACAGGCTGATCATCTGGTAGGCCAAGGTTGATATTGAAGTCTCCAGCTAAGAGAAGGTGGTGCTTGTTCATTTGTCTGTTTGTTATTAGTGCCTTTAATTTCTCACTGAAGTTTGGGATGTTTGTGTGGGGCATCTGGTAAATGGCACCGATTGTTATAGGAGGCTTAAGGTTTTTTACAGTAAAAATTAGCAAAAATGTATTCTCCATATTCATCACTACAGCAAGTGGTGGTAATACAAGATAATTGGTTAAGTTAATAGATTGCAATACCACCCCCAACTTGGTTTGGGTTTTGCAGTTGTGGATTGCTGTGTATCCTGGTAGAGGGTAGATATCTATTGTGTCCTGCTTAAGCCAGGTCTCAGTAAGAATAATGCAGGAGAAGGGTGTCTTTAGTGATTCAAGGAGTACTAGGAGGTCATCATAGTGTTTGTTTAAGGACCTGATGTTGTAGTTAAGTACTGATAGACTTTTAGCATTGTTTAGGATAGTGGTGGCTTGTGATGCTGTGTAATAAAGGCAGTTACTTTCCAATAGGTTTTGATTGGGTGTCAGATTATGGAGGTTTATATCAGGGTCAACGTGATCAATCATCTTCTAGGTTTAAATAGTGGTTATTTATATCCCGTATTGTGCGGTGAGTTCTAATACTGATATCTGTAGTAGTGGGAAGTTTGGACAAGTATATAGCTAAAGCACTTTGGTCATATAGAGTATAGTCACTAATAAACATAATGAAGTTGATGTTGTCTATGTGTTGTGCTGGAATGAGCTAAAGTACAACTAAATATAAACTAAAAATATAAAAATACAAATTAAAAATAGCACCAGACTCTCACTTGTAATTGCACTAAGGTCTAATATAATGAATTTGGTGTTGTCTATGTATTGAGCTAGAATGAGCTAAAGTACAACTAGGTTTAATTCTAATAATATAAAAATACTAGTTTAAAATGGCACAAGACTCTCACTTGTAATTTCACTAAGGTCTAATATAAGTTGTTAACAAGAACTAGAGTATAACTAAATTTAATTTGACAAGACAAAATACAGAAGTTGAGGTAGCAAAAGAAAAAAAAAAGAAAAAAGAGAAATAAAAATGGCAATGACGTGTTATAAAGATAGTAAGATGGTACACAGGAGAATATTAAGTGGAGTTGAAATATACAAGTTAAAAATTGGTAACAAAAGGTTAAACAAGTAAAATAAAGTTGGGTGATAAAGTCTACAATAGAATAGGGCAATTATAAAAAAGTATATAATAAAATTGGGTAATAAACTTTACAAATAAAAAGGGCAATAATAAAAAGTTTAAAATAGATTGAGCAATAAAGTATTGGTAAAATTTGGCAAGTATAAGATTGGGTAATTAACTCAAGACTGTAATAATAATAATATCTTTATTTACTACAAGTACATGTACAAGGTATACAGTCCTAGCTGACAACAATGACATACTACTATATAGAAAGCCCCTTGTTATGCTCCGCATGTCGGGCAAATTAGGTCAGTGTCCCAGGATGCGACCCACACCAGTCAACTAACACCCAGGTACCCATTTTACTGATGGGGAACATAGACAACAGGTGGAAAGAAACACGCCCAATGTTTCTACTCTGGCTGGGAATCGAACCCAGACCCTCGCCGTGTGAAGTGAGAGCGTTAACCACCAGGCCACTAGAATAGTGCAATAATAGGATGAAAAGTTTACAATAAAGTTGGGCACTAACATATAAAATAAAAATGGGCAATAATAAAAAGTTTACAATAAGGTTGGTCAATATAGTTTAAAGTAAAATTGGGCAATAAAGTATTTTTTAAAGTGAGGTAGAATACTGAGGACAAGCTATGGTTAGTTTCAATTAATAAGATAGAACAATGAAGTGGTAAGAAGTAAAAAAGGAGAGATTCTGTAGATATTAAACACAATTAAGACTATGAGGTAGAATGGTCGTTGAATACAGCAGTGACATTCAAAAGTAGTTGGGGTATTGGAAATTTTTTGGGGGGGAACAAAATTTATGGCA